AACAACTCAGTAGTCTTTCTGAAAAAATTATATATGTAAATTTAAAGAAAAAAATTATTTTTATTTTATTCTCAAATAAATACAATTACTAATGGCATGTGTGTGTCGTTGGGCACTGTACAAGTGCTCAAAACTAGGAATCAGACTGATCACTGCCACCTTCATTTCTTTTTCACAGCAACCACTGAAAACCCAGCTTTGCAAAGATATGTCATTGCAAAGGACAAAGTTCAGAAAGTTTGAGAAGTTATTGCCATAACTGAAAATACTGTAAAAGTAAATAAACAAAAACATGATCTTATTCAAGAACAGCACTCAAAGGAATGTACTGTGATCCGAAATGGTGAATTACTTCAAGTTACTACTTTTTGTACACATTTCTTCAGTGCTTCCACATGGTGTTTACTAAATGTTTGTTGACAGGATGATCATGAAAAAGAGTCAAAACAGGAAGGAAGCATATGAAATAACTGCAAAATGTTAAAAGAATTTCAATGATGTTTTACTTTTTTGTGAATAATAGTTGTTCTAAAATAAAATTTTATGTCTGGCTTTTAAACACTAAATTATCTTTAAGAAAACATTTCTGGAGGAGGATAAAAAGATTTCAATGAATCAGCATCACTGAAAGTGACTTGCTTAACTAATAATATAACTGCAAAATATGCTGTTAAGAGACAAAATTAATTGCTTGGTAACATTTAATTATTACAAATATCTGATCTTTAAATCTGCAAAAGGTATGGTTTTCTTGTATGTCAATATATGTAGTAGGTCTGTATTAGACAACATTTGTACTTTTCGTTGTGAGACCCTTATCTTTATAATGGATCTTTACTAACCCAGGACCAAATACTTGATTTTGAAGGTTGCTGATGAAGAATCCAACTGGGTTATAGGACTAAATTTAATGACAGGTGAATCAATTTGAAGTAAAATAACAAATTTTATTTTGTGTTCACATTCCAAGGATGTATAGCATTAAATTACACAGCATGAAGTAATATTTCTGTGCTAATCTTAATATGCTTTCTGTCTTAAATGAGGAGGTGTCTTGAGCTATGAGCTTTTTATAGATTCTAGTGGTACTTTTAGGCTCTTGAGCTTAAAGTTTCAGGATCAGCAGGTTCATTACCATGAAATATAAAAACATTAATTACCTAAATCTGTGAGGCATTGTTATAAAGAGATTTTAAAGACCTAGATGGAAAGGACCAAGAGTGAAGAAAAAACATGAGATGTAGCATGGATTGAATTTAGTCAGTTAATGATTTTTTTTAAAAAAAACTGTGTTCGCTGCGTGAAATGCACTGAGTTAAAGAAGATAATAGTGAATATGAGGTACAAACAACTGAATTTACAGGCGCTATCAGGAAAACATTCAATCATTAAATTGCAATGTATGCCCCAAAGTGAGTGTTTTATTGTATAAATTAATCTGTTAGGCCATGGAACGATTTAGTCAGAATAGACTCATTAGGTACTTAGATTGTCAAATCAACCAGGACTTCCTCATCTTCACAACCAAAGCTACTTCTCAAAGCGCTTATTCTGTCTTTGGACAATCACAAGTGTGTAACTGCACCATGCTCGTGTCTACTCTAGACTTCTATCAGATTTAAACTCTTGAAGGGCAAGGACAATGTGGCACAGAGGTAGTTAGAGCTAAGAGAGGAAAAAGTCAGTCAATAAATATTTATTAAATATGTCTCATGTGACAGGCACTGTACTAAGAACTGGGGATACAGAGAAGGGCAAACCATAGCCCTTGCTCTCCAGGAGCTCACAGTCCATGGCACGAGACATCTAAGCGATTATGTACAAACAAGCTACAGCAGTATAAACCGGACATTATCAATAGAGGGAAGGGGCTAGCATTAAGGGGAATCTAGAAAAGTTTCCTGCAGACAGAGGAATTTTATTTGGGTCTTGAAGAAAGCCAGGAGGCAGAAATTAGGGAGAGAGGGCATTCCAGGCCCAGGGGCAGTCAGGGAAAATGCCCAGAGCTGAGAGATGGACTGTCTTGTTTAAGGAACAGCAGGGAGGTCATTTGATGACCACCCCCTGCCATTCCTTTTTCTATGCTTGTATATTCTCTTCCTCTCACACACCTCAATTATATGAAATGCTTGTACATTCTACCCTCTTTTCTACACTAGTATCTTCCTTTTATTCTCCCTTCTCTTTTCCTCTTCAAACTCTCAGAACAGAACTCATTCACCCCCAAGATCTTGGGTTTTCTTATGGAATTTCCCTCAATATCCAATTACTGAAGTACATTTTCTAGATTTCTCTGGACTAGACTTAGCATTTCTAAGTCCCGACTGGGCTCTAGTTTTTTTATTAGAAATGCTTGGAAGTCTTTTTTCCCCGAGGTCCTTCTCCCCCAGTAGTATTGTACTCTGTTGGAAAGTAAGTGATTCTTGATTGTAAGCCTATTTCTTTCGCCACTGTATCTCAAGAGAAGCTCCTCTAGTTAAAGATGACAAAATTTGTGTGATCCTCATCAAAGTCTCTTGGTACTTGAATTGCTTCTTTCTGGATGCTGGCAATATTTATTTTTGATTGGATGTGGGAGCTCCGGATTTGGGCCTTAACATTCCTGGGACTCTTCCTTTTTGGGGTTCCTTTGGGGAGGCTCTTGGTGTACTCTTTTACTTTATTATATGGTTCTATTAGATTTAGTCAGTTTTCATTCATGCTTTATTTATATATAGTGTCAAGGCTTTTTTGAAAAACATAGCTTTCAGCAAGTCCAATGAATCTTAAGTTAGTTTCCTTTGATCTGTTTTTCAGTCAGTTACTTTTGATCTAATATCTTATATTTTCTTTTTTCATTTTCATCTTTTGATTTTGTTCTGATATTTCTTGCTGTTTCATGGAGTCATTTTGTTTTTTTTTGGTTTATTTTAGCTTTCAGTGAATTCATTTCTTGGGAAAGTTTTACCAATTTCTCTTCTAAGCAACCTATTCTATTAATCTCCACCCCCTTCCCCCAGTTTTTATTTCATTAAAAAAATTTCTTGCTTCATTTTTCTAAGTATTCATGTATTCCTTCTGAGAAATCCATTTTTTTTTCCTTTTGAGTTTCTGAATGCAGTCTTTCTGGGGATCTCTAGCTTTGTACTGATTTAGATATTGGTTAGCGTTTTCTCTGATGAACTCATCTCTCCACTCCAGCTTTAGCTCCTGAACTGAGACACTGTGAGTTAAAGGGCCAGGTTCTGCCCTCTATTGCTCTTTTGTACAGGGAGGCTGGCACTGCATTGTCTTACCCTTCCGCTGACTTCCACAGGGTTAGGCTCTCCTGGATCTTTGAGGTTCAGAGGGCTTTATCTTCAGGACTCTTTCTGACACCCAAGATCACAGTGTTACGGACTTCAGAGCCCCTAGGCTGGGGCTATGTGCTATAGTATCACACTAGTTACAGCCATTCCTGGGGGATTCCTGATGAATACCTCGGGTCTGACCCTGAGGCCTTCTGATCACTCTCGGGTTCTTTCACAGGAGTCCTCCACTCCTGCTGCCTTTGGCCTAGCTTTGCTGGAGGGTACCCATTCCTGCTGCCTGTAAAAAGTCTGTCTGACTTTTTGTGCAGTACCAGGGTAGAAGAAATCACTTGCTCATTGGATTTTTTTGATTATTAAAACTGGAAAGAATGGCAGGGTTTGCTTGTGTGCATACATACTTAAGACCTGGGCAGTCTATCTATCACTCAGGAAGCCATTTTGGCAGGAACCCATCATGATAACATTCTTTTTTCAAAATGCATTTTTCAAAATTATTTTTTTAAATCAGAAAAAAAAAATCTGTCTTCTCATTCCCAACCCACTGCAAAATCAAACAAAAAGTCCCCAATACCCAGAAATCCTATTTCTTCTCCAATGTGTTCCTCTTTCCACTCATGGAGCCACTGTCCTAGTTCAATTCTTTATCACTTCTTGCTTACATCATTCCTTATTCCTAATATTTCCTTTCTCCTTTCTTCTCTCTGTTCTTCAAAATAATCTAAGCCCTGAATGGCACAATTTCAGAGCTGGAAGGGACTTTTTTGGCTACTGGGTCCAACCTGTAATCTGAAAAAGTATTCCTTCTACCTCACTCCTAACAAGTGGTTATCTGGTCTTTGAAGACCTCCGTTAAGAGAAGCCTATTCTGCCTCTGGCCATCTTAAACTGCCACATTTTTCTTACATCAAGCCTAAATCTGCTCTTTTCTAATCACCACCTTTTGTTTTCAGTTTTCTCCTTTGGGGCCCAAGAAGAACAAGTCTAGTCTTCCAGTCGATAGCCTTTCAAAAACTTGAAATGAGCTATTACGCGTCCTCTAAGTTTCTCTTCTACTTCTAGTTCCTTCACAGATCCTTTGCTAATATACTTTAGCTAATTCCTCTAGGCTATTAAAATACTAATTTCTTGGCCTAGCACCTAAAGTGAGACATGATCTGGCTCCAAACTAGATTTTCAGATTTCCACATCATTCCTTTTCACATAATCTGTGTTCTAGACAAACTGGCCTACTAATTGTACTGACAATTTGGAATCCCATGTCTCTCACGTGTATTTACCCAGGCTATCCTGTTCCTCCCATGACTGGGGTGCAGTCTTTCCTCAACTTGGCCTCTCCAGAGATCTTACTTTTCTTCAGGATCACCTTACGAGCCCATTTTTTGTTGATACTGCACTGCCTTCTCTCTCTCCTCAAATTATCTTGTTTTTACTCATTAATGTACACGTTGGATCCCTTAGTAAGATGTACCACGAGGTTCTCAATGGCAGGGGTACTTTTGTTTTTGCCTCTGTTTTCCTAGTACAGCACTGTTATAAATGTTTGTTGAATTTACTTTCTCGATACATCAATAAATTGGTTGTCTCTATGAGAGATTAATGATTAGGAATAAAGTAAAATCTCAACTCCCCCCCCCCTCAAATTATTAAACACATTATCAACCTTTTCAACTTGTCTCAACTTACATCTGTAATGAAAAGTACTGAAATTACCTTTCGGGTTTCAAACTGTGCTTCTTCCTGGCAGCATCCTCTGCAATCAGGATCCAGCTGAGTTAAGCTAAACTGTCCAAGAAGATCACAAGAGCTACAGAGCAAATTGCTGGAGAAACCCAAGTCTCTGCATGCTTCTGATGATAATTCAGATCCCAGTGTACATATCTGAAAAGACACAGCGAAGACATTCAACCAACAAGTGTTTGCTAAGCACCTACGATAGACCAGGCATGATGAAATCCAAAGAATGGAACAACCCCTACTCTCAAGGAACCTACATTCTACACAGGTGGCAGAAGTGGGAGTGGGGTGAAGGGAAGAGAATGTGTACACATGTGAGCGAATACATACAAAATAAACACAAGGTACTTGGAGATGGAGGGGTTGATAGCTGCGTCTTGAAGGAAGAAAGGGCTCTAAAATAATATGAAAGAAGCATATAGCACTTTGAACTATAACTGCAACTCAAAAAATGAACTCTCTCTCTCTCCCCCTACTACATATAGTCCAGCTATGTAAGCTCTACGAGGTCAGGGACTATGTCTTAGCTAAATTTTGCAGGCTCCAAAGAACCTAGCACAGTGCTCTGTACAAAGCAGACGCTTAATAAATGTTTCTTTTCTGATTATTAATCTCTGCTAAGACAAAAGACAGATGTCTTCAAAGAAAAATTTGTGATGACTTTTTACAGAACCATATGAAAGTACAGAATCAAAAGTTTTTACATATCATTAGCATATCTAAATTTGCTATATGTTGTAATTTACTTATTCTCTTGAACAAAACTTTAAATGATTTAGGGGGCTCTAGAACATATGAATCTTAACCTAATCCAAAATATATACAAATCAATAAACATTTACTAAGTAACTAGTAAAATGCCGTGCATGGTGCAAGGAGCTGGGGCACATAAACATTCTGCGGAGGAAAACCACTATGTCTACACGTAAATAAATACAAAGTTAATTGTATTTACTTTAGAAGAGTAGGCACTACTAGCAGCTAAGGAGGTCAGTAAAGACTTCATGTTGCAGGTGGGACTTAAGCAGAGCTTTGAAGAAAGTTAGAGATTCTAATCAGAGGGGTGAGGAGACAGTATATTTCCAGCATGAAGCATTCCAGTATAGCAGCAATTTTGCATGTTTAAAGACATGGCAAAAGCAGGGAACAGCAAATAAACCAGTTTGGCTGAAGTTAGGCAGCTAGGTGGCGCCAGAGTGCATAGAGTGCTGGGACTAAAGTCAGGAAGACTCCTGGCCTCAGATGCTTACTAGCTGTATGATCCTGAGCAAGTCACTTAACCCTGTTTGCCTCAGTTTCCTCACCTGTAAAATGAGCAAAGAAGAAAACTGCAAACTACTTCAGTATCTTTGTCAAGAAAATCCCCGATGGGGTAGAGAAGAATCAGATATGGCTGAAAAACCACTTAACAGAGGAGTGAAGGGGGGGTTAAAAATACAATGCCATCATTAAATCATGTAATCTTACTTAGTCTTCAAAGGTACCTTTTAGCTTTTTAAAGTCAACTCTTTTTTAAAAGACCAGATTTACTCATTATTCATAGAAACGGATTAAACAAGGGTTTGAGTTATTTCTTGTTAAGATGTTAATGGTATAAATATTAATCCATAAATTGCATAATTAATTCCACATTAATTAATCAGCCTAGGAACCTGAGTTAACTGTTTCCCTGAATGCTCATATTTATCTGGAAGGGGAAAAAACAGCTTTGGATTAAAATACGAACATCATGATTTCTATAGTTTTGTTTTTACAGTTATAAGAACATCCATCCACAAATTGTCTGAGATGATAATTTGATTTTTATAATTCAAATTTGAGGAATCCTAGAAAGCAACCTTCCTAAATCACATGAATACTTCTATTCCTAAAGATTCAGAAAAATAACCACTTCATGGAGCACAAGAGCCCACTTTCTCAAATGTTAACCTTAAAGAACCACTACTTTGGGATTTACAGCTATTCACTTCCGCATTTGGGCATTCTACCTTAAACCACAGCATCCTGGAAACCAAAGTGAAGTAAGCTGCAATTTACAGTAATTTCAAGGACCCTAGAAAACTGGAGAGATACTCTTAGAAAACCACCATTGAAATACAAACTAGCCATTTATCCTTGTAATAACAGTTGCCCAAATTTTAGCTAGTGACAAAGAAGAGAAAGGCTGGAAATCCTGGAGGTTAAGTAATTAATGCTGCTCTTTGGGTGAAAATTTAGCTTTGGACCAAGCTTAGGCATCATTTTGATGTTCAGTTGGTTGTGAAACTATAATAATATAATAGCAGTGTTTCATATTCATCTAGCACTTTTGTGCTTGGTATTTTTCAAACATACCTAGGATAAAAGAACTGTACAGTCTTTAAAATTTTTTGATTATTACCTAAAATTTGAGAGTACCAGTATTTTTAGAGATTTCAATTTTCAAAAAGGACAACTCAAACTCAGTCCTTGCTTTGGAGAGTATCACATTTAGCATCTGTTGACATGAAATGAATTTTATTTGTGCCACTGAAGACTCTTCAAGACAGATCTTATTTGGTTGTAATTTTGCACCTAATAGCATAAATTAATGAGGTTGAATTGGCATGAGCTATAACTTACTGAATTTCAAAGAACTGCTAGGAAGATGTACGGTCCTTTGGTATTAATAAGGAGAAAGACAGGAGAATAAGGAGTATTAAGGGTGACAACCAGGATAAAATTTTAAGACTCATTCATTTCTTCAAATATCATTTAACTAATTTTCTCAAAAGGTTCTATAATCACCTACTCCCAAGGATCATGTTATTTAGTGCTGGAAGAGACCTTAAAGACAATCTTTAGTAACTTTTAATAGTCCAATTAGTAATTTTTTAAGCCACTGATTTTATAAAGAAACTGAAAGTACCTTGCCAAGATCACGTATGTATTAGGTAGCCAAGTTACAAAAGAACGAATATCCCTTGATTCCCCAACCCAAGAAGCTCTATCCCACCAAGCTGCATATTATTCCACCAAAACCACAAGATAAAAATACTGTAAGCAAGTCCAGGTTTTATCCTTTGGGGTGACAGCATAATTTAAAGGATGGGAAAAAGTAAATGTAGGAGGAAGAAAGTTCCCCTTTTTTATATTTGTGTACATAGTGACCTGATGCTACCAAAAAGCCTTTTAAGCCGGAGTACGTTAAGGAACCTTCCTGGTATTAATTCCCTCAATACTGAGCTACTCTCTTTCCCTACCTTTAAGAAACACTGCTTAAAACTGCGTTCTACTAAGCACATGGTAGCAGCAGTATTTCAAATGCACAGACTAATCTAAATTTTCTAAATACCGGGGTTTATTGGAGAACAAAAAACCCAAGGAGTACAGCACAAACACATTTTGGTAGGTGATATAACCCAGAATTCTTTGGGTAAAGCTGTGTGGCATTCTATGGCAAAAGACTGGAAAATCAGCAGATACGTGTTTCAGTCTAGTTACGCTTGGCCGTTACCTTGCCCCATAACTTTGACTAGTCATTAAAATTTTTTTTCCACATAAAATTTTATTTTCTTTCCTTACTATCTCCTCCCCACCCCAAATGGAAAAGGAAAAAAAAGTCCCAGTAAACAATATGGATAGTATTGGTCATGCAAAAAACCGAAACAAACAACAAACCAAGGTTCTGCACATTGAAGCGATCACCTCTGTTAGGAGGTAGTAGCGTCTTCCTGAATCGTGGTTGGGCATTACATTGATCTGAACTCTTAAGTCTTTCAAAGCTGTTTGTCCTGGCACTGTTGTTACTGTATAAACTGCTCTCCTGGTTCTGCTCCCTTTACTCTGCGTCAGGTCAGTTCATACAAGTTTTTCCAAGATCCTCTGAAACCACCCCTTTCACCATTTCTTACAGCACAAGAATGTGCCACAACAGTCCTCTACCATAAAGTGGCCATTCTTTAACTGATGGGCATCTTCAGTTCTCTGCCAGCACGAAAAGAGCTGTTCTAAGGGTTGTGGACACATGCCCTTCCACTCTTTCTTGGGTCTCTTGGGTCAGTTCAACTCCTCGAGCCTGGGCTTCACTGTACAAAACGAGAGGGAGAGACGTCTGTCCTGCTCCCAAATTCTATGATCTTAAGGTTCTTTTAGTTACAGCTATGGAGGCCTCCCTGTAGATCTTGTCAACCATGAATGTCAGGTCAAACAGATCAAGTCCCTCCCGGGCATGCTTCCTGCTAAGTGGGAGAAGGCTAGCAGCCTTATCTCAGGGAGGATGAACATGTTTCTGATTATGTGACCATGGTTAAGTTAGTCCAATTTAACCCTGTAATTTTGTGTGAAACGTTAAGAGATGTGTACTCACTTTCCAATATGGAAAAGTTAAGTGTGGCAGAGTGTAAAGAGGGTGAAACTTCTTACGAGGCTACTTAAATTCTAATCCTGACTCCGGTGCAAAAAGGGGAAAAAATGCTTGAGTTACCTTTTTCGCAGAGTTGTGAGTAAAGCAGTTTGTAATGCTCTCTGTAGACATATACTGCAAGGAGGTCAAAGACGGAAGGAAAGGTCCCATATGGACAAATAGCATTTGTAGCGGCACTTTGGGGGAGGGAGGCAGCAAAGGACTAGAAGGAAACAAGCAACTAATAGATTGGCTGGTTGGTTTATTAATATAATGGAACCTTATTAGGTTGTAAGAAACAAGAATTTAGAGAAACTTGGGCAGAACTGATGAAGAGTGAGGGTGAAGAACCCAGAGAAAATACAAAATGACCATCAGCACATTTCAGATGGATGTTCTGACCAATCATAACCTCAGAGGACTAACAGTAACGCACGTCTCCTGCTTTAAAACTGAAAGGCAGCAGACTACAGGTGTGGAATGACGTACACATATTCAGATGTGGCCATGTTGCTTTATTTTGCTTAAATGTACACTCAATGTTACAAGGAACAGTTCTGCTGGGGCAGAGGAGGGGTGGCTTAAGAGTCACTGGGAAGCAGCAGTGTGATGTTAAAGAAAGAAACCCAAGAAGCCAGTCTGAAGAAAGTGTTTTTGGAATCATTAAGTTAGAGGCAGGTGTGAGCCACAGATACTATTATTTCTACACAACTTTAAATTCAGGTGGTCACCATTGATGCGTAATCTTTTAAAATGACTGTTTTTAAGGAGTCAAGCACTTATTCCAGCATTTGTAGTAGTTTAAAATCAGAAGTTACAACTGCAGTCTGCACATTTGGAAGGGCAGGGCAAGTCCTACGAAGAGAAAGAAAAGGGAATTAACTGAAATAAGGCCAAAGGACAGAAGGAACTGGCAGGGAGAGATAAGGAAGGTTAGACAAATTGGCATATTTAGGTCTCTTCTCTAGGAACAAGGAAAGGCAGCGGCTTGCTGGGCCTCAGAATCTGGTGCTGTCACTGGCCCCTTGCACCACTCTGGATGTGTTCTTTTAAGTCACTGGGAATCACCTTCCTCATTCCTAAAATGAGAGGCTGGACTGAATACAACCAATCAGCAAGTGCTGCTAAGTATTAGGGAGACAGAAAGTTTAGGCTGTGAGAGCTGTTCCCAATACACAAAACCTGTCAACTCTTACACTCCTGTTCCTGCTCATTTGGCTTCCAATGATGGAACACTCTCCTAATTTCTGCCTTGTATAGCTGAGGTATCACCTCCTGAAGCCTTTCCTGATTCCCCACATCATTAGCACTTAAAAGTATTTTCCTTTTTGGTTTTTGTCTGTCTAAGCTATATTCCTTCAGTAGACTGGAGGGCAAGGACTGCTTTCTTTTAAGCCCCCAGCACCTGGCATTGTATGTGGCACACACTAGGCACTTAGTAAATGTTTATTGAATAATACTTCCCCAATCAATAAACTCCAGTGGCTCCTTGTTGCTTTCAGGATCAATGATGAAATGCTCTATTTGGGGTTCAAACCATAACCATCCCCCCTCTTTTCCAATCTTCTTACACCTTCCTATGTAATCTGTGACCCTGTGACACAAGACACTCCATCTCCCGACTCCGGGCGTTGTCACTGGCTGTGACCCCTGCCTGGAATGCCGTCACTTCCCTGGCTTCCTTCAAGTTCCAACTAAAATCCTACCTTTTTTATGAAGCGCTTTCGTAATCTCCCCTCTACCTGATGATCTCTAATTTACCCTTTCTATATCTTACTTGCATGAGTTTTCTTATGGCCTCCCTCGTTAGATGGTAAGCCCCCTGAGGGCAGAGATAATCACTAGCGCTTAGCACACTGAGTAGGAGACTCAAAGTGCTCGAAGACTAATCGCAGCAGGCGCTCCATAAATGCTTGCTGACTCAACGAGCGCAGAGCTGGGCCCTGAAATCCGTGAGAAGCGAGAGGGACCCCAGGGGAGGCGGCCAAGAACGAGGCCTCGCCGAGGCTGAGGAGGGTGGCCGGGCGGGCGGGGCCGGGCCCCTACAGCGGCCACGTAGCCCTCCAGGGCCGCCCTCCCGCCCTCTTCAAGCGCGGCTCCTAAGGCTCGTCCTGGGCCCCCAGGCCCTCGCTACGAGCCCCGAGGCGGCTACGGAGGCGCCAGCACTCAGCACTCACCGCTTGCAGCACGGACGCCAGCAGCAGCCGCAGCCCGAACGCCGCAGCACATCCCGGCCGCCCGCTCGCCGCCATCGCAGCCGTTGTGCTCAGGTCCTGACGTGGCCCGAAGACCCCTCCACTGGGGTGACTAACGCTACGCCTGACTCCCTGGCTCGTTAGCTTTCCGCTCGCCGCGCCCAGCGGGCCTCCCCCGAGCCACCTGATGGGATGGAGAACTCCAGGGGGCGGCCTCCTATAATATCAAGGGTGTGCGAGGGTCTTTTTGATTTGCTCTCCTTCCCCCACAGTCAGGCACGTTACCGAGACCCCTATAAAACTGTTCCTTTGGAGGGCCCCCTCAGTTTCATTCATGGCATTTCGTTCCGAGTCCTAAAACGCTCGTTCCTTCCTCTGGCTTCGTCCCGCCTCGCTCTCTCGCCGCGTTTAAGCCAATCACCTGCTGAGTTAATTTTAATGGCAGCTGAGCAAGCCAATCCTAATCCCGAGCGAAAGACCACGGCAACCATGGTGGCAGAGGCGGGGTCCAATAGCGGTCGCAATGGGGTTGGGAAGGGAAGGCGGAGTGTTTGCTGAGGCCGGGAGGCAGGGCTGCTGAGCAGCGTGCGTGAATGCGTATTGGGGAGGGGGCGGGTCCGAGCTGGGGGCGGGGCCGAGGGCGGCGCAGTCGCAGCCTCGGTGCTGGAGCGGGGCTCTGGGAGGGAGGCAGGCAGTGGAGGAAGAAGGGAGCCGGGTGGGCAGAGCGAGGGAGCGAGCGAGCGAGGCGGGAAGGTGCTGGGCTTGGTCCGGCTTCGGGGAAGCGAGAACCGGAGTGCTGCTGAGTGCGGGGGCCTGCTGGCCGGCGGCGGCCGCGGCGGAGGCTCCGGAGGAGCAGCGGACGCGGGCGGCGTTGGCGTTGGTGCCTGGGGGCGGGGGTGGGTGGTGGGAGGGAGGGAGGGAAGGCAGGAAGAAGGGGGGGTCGGAGGCAGTGGTGGCCGCGGCTCTCGCCGCTGCGGCGCTTCGCTCCTGCCCGCCGGCCTCGGGGCTCCGGCTCGCTCCTCCCGGCGCCCCGCGCCCGCGCCCCCCGGTCCCCGGGGCCTCGCTCCCCGCCCCCCGCGGTATGTCGTGATCCCGAGCGGCGGCGGCGGCGGGTTTCATGGGGCTCCTCAGGATTATGATGCCGCCCAAGTTGCAGCTGCTGGCGGTGGTGGCCTTCGCCGTGGCGATGCTCTTTCTGGAGAACCAGATCCAGAAGCTGGAGGAGTCCCGCTCCAAGCTAGGTGAGGGGAGGGGGCTCCCCTGGGGCTGTCACTCGGGGGCGGGGGGGGGAGGCGGGTGCCCCGGGCTGGAGGAGACTTGGGGGTGGCGGAGGGCGGACACGCGTGGGACCGGGGCTTTCCCGGCTCAGGCTCGGAGCGCACGGCGGCCGGCCGGCGAAATTGACCCGAGTCAGTTTCCCTGCGGGCTGTGAGCTGCCGAAGGTGCCCAGGTGAGGGGGACGGTTGTGGGCAGAGGGAGCCCGAAGCGCTGCGGATCCGGGGGATTTGAGATGCATGCGGCTTTCGAGCGGGATGGGGGCCGTGGCCAACTTGGACACATGTAGCGCTTTCTGCTGGATTTTTGAAGGGAAAAGAAGGTTATGCCCCCCGAGTGACTTACTCAATTGAATCGAGTTGCTTGAGAATGCAAGCGTGTGTTGGTGTTGGGAGGTGATTAAGAAGTTGAGAGAAATGAGGATAGATACTGTTATTAAGCCCTTACTAGGAGCCAGGCGCTGCACTCAACTCTGGGAGTACAAATACAAGCAAAAAGAAAGACATCCCCTTACCCTCATGGAGCTTACATTCTGATGGGGGAAGACAGTCCATAAAATGGATGAAAGGGGGCCTGAGGTACGTGTAAAAGGCGAGAGAATCAGGAGCAGAATTGGGTTTGAAGTGAACGTAGAAAGTTTTAGTGGACTGTGATGAAAGAACAGAAAAATGTTGGGGAGATATTCTGGAGAAACTCAAGATAGCCTTGTTGTTGAATTTTCAGTAATATTTTGGTTTGTAAATTTGCATTTCAAAAAATCATGGAGACATTGATTAGGTAGATAAAAACACATGAAGCTATTTTAGCCTTGTGCTAACTACTTTAATGCGTGCTCCTTCCCCTTCAAAAAAAAAAGGGATTGGGAAACTGTACATTACTTGGGATAAAGAACAAAAAGGAAGCTGTTAAAAAAATGAAGATTCATGTTTAGGAATTCATAGGGACAGGACTTGTGATTTCATTGGTACAGGAAACTTTTGGATGTGGAAAATCCCTCGGCCATTGGAAGTCAGGACCTTCTCTGCAGCTTGGGGTCTTAGAGAACTGCCTAGAACACTGAGAGTGACTGGATGTGCTAAAAGTGGGGTTTGAATGCAAGGTCTTCCTGGTTCTAGGCTTGCTTTGTGTCCACCATGCCAACCTGCCTGTTAGGTCTGTTCATTGTTAATAGTACGTTGAATGTTAGATTAGAATGAAGAACTTTCTCATTTGAATTTAGTCATTTGCAAATAATAGGCCTTTAGTATTTGACCTGAATTAAGCTGACTCCGCTTTTGAAGTACATTTTGTAGAAAGCTACAGAAAGTTTTAAAGATCATTTTAATAAGCAGCGTTAAATACTAGTGTGTATGAGTGATAGGAGGTGTACTTAGAAACTAGAAAAAGAGCTGAAACACATTTCTCTCTTTCTCTGCCTTACTGTACATGAATGCAGAAGGACATTGACATCATTTAATTTGATTTCATCTGGATGTAGGTCTAAATGACTATAAGAGAAAATACCTTCAATGTTTTGGTTTAAATCAGTTTAATCACCACCTCGGTTCAAAACCTCTATGTAATCCTCAACTCCTCACCCTTTTTTTTGTCTCAAATATGCAATACTCAGTTGCCACAACCTGGCTTTTCTACCTCCACATCTCACACCCATTTTCTCTCCCCCCACATACAACTACTCCCCAGTGTAAACCTTCATCCCTCCGGCCTGGCCTCTTGATTGGTCTCCTTGTCTCAAGTTTCTGCCCCCTCTAATCCATCCTCCACTTAGTTGCCCAGGTGACCTATGTCATTCTCCTCCTTAATGAACCCCAGCAGTTGCAATTCCCTGTTACCCGTGGGTCAGATATAAACTCCTTTGACATTTCAAGTCCTTCACAACCTGGTCCCACCAACCTTTGCATCGGTGTTACTCTTCATACCCACTTTGGTTCAGCCAAACTGATCTAGAGAAGTAAAGAGGGAGTGTATTCCAAGAATGAGGAACAGCAAAGACAGATAGGAGATAAAATGTTGCAGGTGAGGTGAGTAATTTTGCTTCTTTGTTATCTATTAGCATGTCCCCATCTGCTTCAGTCAGTGGACCTTTCCCTTCTTTTTCTTGCTCAGAACGTGCTAAATCGTTTCCTTCAAGACTTAGCTGAAAACTGGGGCAGCTAGGTGGTGCAGTGGATAGGATAGAGCTCCAGCCTTAGAGTCAAATGTGGCCTCAAATACTTGACACTTACTAGCCGCGTGACCCTGTGCAAGTTACTTAACCGTGATTGCCTCACCAAAAAGCAATAAAGAAAAAAAAAAGACTTAGCTAAAACTATTGTCCCTCCCATCTTTCAGGCACTAATGCCTAGATCCCCAAATTACCTTCTCTTTTGTACATACCCCTGTTTGTGCATCTTCTTTACCGCCCATAGATTGAAAACTTCTTGAGGGCAGCCACTGTTTCAGTTTTATCTTTCTATCCCTACAACAGTGGCAATAGAAGTTACTTAATAAATGCTTGTTGATTGAATATCATTTTATCTTTATAGTTTATAGTTTTAGTGTAAAACTATATAGTTTTATTTTTATAGTTTATAGGAGGCAACTTGGCTTAGTGAAGAGTGTTGGGTTTCGAAGCATAATGGATTTGAGTTCTAATCCTATGTCAGATGCTATCTGTGACTCTCCTGGCTAGTCAGCCTCTTTCAGCCACAGCTACCTCATCTGTGTAATTGGGATAATAACAACATCTACTTCAAGATTATTTTGAGGATCAAAAGAGATATATGTTTTACAGATCTTAAAAGAGCTTCACAAATGTAATCTATTACTATTATTACATTAATTTGCCTCATTCAGCTTTAATGAACAAAAAGTATTTGCACGGTTTACTTATGCATAATTAAGATGAGATCCTTAGTATGCCACATGCAAACACTGCAAACCTGAAGCCCTCCAGAGTGTTAATAAAACACAGTAGAAGAAGTTACTCAACTTTTAATTTACCTTTCTTGCCTTAAGAAGGTAAGGTCTTTAATAACACTTGAGTTGAGTGTAGTTTCCAGAGTGGTTTCAAAGGTGGAAAAGACTAACTATAGTGGATTCCTGACTGCCAAACTGTGACTTACTGTTTATCTGTAAAGTGGGTATGTTTGTTTTCCTTGGGTGTATGATACCGTCTTGTTGTTCAAGAAGTATGATGAAGCCACCATCATCTATGTGGAGATTTTTTTTTTTAGAAAGAAAGGATATTCATCAGCCCCACCATGAGTAGTAGCCAGAGATAATGAATACTCCTCAGAAGTGCTCCAGTAGTAGACATGAGAGCCTTCAAGGATAAACTGAAGGATGTAATAATTTCAGTGTGCCATGGACATAGCTCAGGAAGTACATTACATTTCAGCTTGTGTTTTGCTTGAAATCTTCAAATGTCTTAAGCTCTATTAAATTATCATCCTTGAAGGAATCTGCAAATGTGGAACCTTGGGCCTTTTTTGAGCTGATATTAGTTAATAGGCCTATTAATAGACCTATTAAAATTTTGTTTTCTACAAGTTTTTTTTTAAATTGTGTGGTGCCAGTAGTTAATGTGCCTCTGTTTTAATAAGCATTAGACATTGCACTAGGAAAATCCAGCTCCTGGCATGAAAGGTTTGATGTAATGTAATATAAGCTGAAAGAATTCTATTAGCGAAGTATCTGCCTTTTTTTATATATGTGTAATGGACATGATTCAATTCCATGTCGAGAGCACTAAAACGTACGACTTCTCCAGACTAGAGAGCAGGAGTTCATGTTTTTCTCCAAATGCAAAAATCACCTCCCTCCTGACATAAGAAAAAACTCCATTGGAGAAAGGCTTCCTTCTAAGAAACTTTTCCCTTTTGATAAGAAGGGACATGGTGTGCTAGTCTCTGAATATTGTTTGATTTCAGATTATGTTTCAATTGCTGAGCCTAGCACAACAGTGTCAGGTGTCAAAATCGATCATCTCCACAGTTCCATTTTGGAAATTAATATGTTTGTGCTGTATAATCAGTAGTTAGTTTTTTCGAACAAAATAATACTTGGGAGAATTAAAGATTTGAAGGAAGCAGTTTGTTTTCTTTTGATTCCTATAACTCTAGAACTGTTAAGGGACTTATGAAAATGGTGGTGTTACCTTGAGCCAGGAGCCTTACAATGGGACCTCATAATGGATGAATTACTGGATTTTCAGCAAGCTTCTGCTAGGACTTTCCTCCTTATCAAGAACTCACCTCACCTAGTTCTTAGCCGCTACCTCACAAGACATCCCATTTCACGTCTGGGTACTCAGATCATTAGGAAGCGCTTCATTTTGAAACCTGATTTTTGCTCCTGCTCGTTGGTTCTGGTTCATCCTTTGGCAACCGAGTAGACAAGACTTACTCTTCCACTACATGTACCCTCAGATATTTGAAGGCCACTGGTATAACTGCTCTGTGTCTTTGCTCTTCCGTTGTAAACACTCCTTGATATTTTAACTGTTCACCCTTTGGCATGGTTTTTGGACCTCCCTTAGATTTGGATCCTCCTGGCTTTCATCCTCTAGACATATTTTGGTGTGTCAGTATCGCAGAATTTGGTGCCCAGCATTGAACATAGTGCTACAAATGTGTAGGTGTATATATAGTCTGACCTGGAAAGGTTAGAGTGAGACTTTTGCTCTTTAGCTCTGAATACTATTCTGTTCATGGAGTCTAGAATTATATTAATGTTTTTAGCAACTTGGTTATATTGTTTATCTCAAATAATTACTCCAGGTATCTGCAGTTCTTCTGTACTTTGAAAGTACTCTGTAAGACACTAAGCCCAAGGATTTACTTTTGGCCCCATTAACTAGTATCTGTTACTTAGGGTTTATCTTTCCATTTTATCAAAATCTTTTTGAATCCTCATTTTTGTCATCTAAGTACTAAAGCCTTTCCAGCTTTATTTCCCTCTCAAATTTGGTGAGCATGCTCTCTGT